TACTCAGTATAGGTGGCTGTCCTCTCCTGCGGAAGGAATAGGATATCTTTCAGGGTTCTTTTACCTGATATAATGAAGAAGCAGGATGCTGGCTTCAGGAGGAATTCAATGCCTTTGCTGAGCGCCATTGTGATGCAGAGAGAACCCATGGCCATCAAGGTGATGCTGAGGAGGGATATAACGGCCGCCGTGATGTTCAGTTCTATGCACATCACCAGGAAGGGGAGAAAAAAAAAACCCTAGTCATTTCTTGCCATCTAATACACAAAGATGAGAACAAGGGCAAGACTTACAATGACTCCCTACAGCCTTCCCTTTTATGTGACACAGCATGCAATCCTCAGCCATCTAGTAAGTTACAGAGACTAAAGACTCCTGTACAAAATCAGAAACAAGCATAACAACCGAGACTGGAGGGTAAGCAAGACCTGACACCATCGGGGAAAGGAATTGTGTTTAATATCAATAGATCAGAGCTATAGAAAGATTAAGATTCACTTGTTGGAGTGACTACAGAAGGCTTTGGGATTATTGGTCACTATAAAAGCGTGGAAAAAAAAGTTCATCATAGAATCATACAGTTGGAAGAGACCTGGTGGGCCATCCAGTCCAACCCTCTGCCAAGAAGCAGGAAAATTGCATTCAAAACACCACCGACAGATAGCCATCCAGCCTGTGTTTAAAAGCTTCCAAAGAAGGAGCCTCCACCACACTCCGAGGTAGAGAGTTCCACTGCTAAACAGCTCTCACAGTCAGGGAGTTCTTCCTAATGTTCAGATGGTATCTCCTTTCCTGTAGTTTGATGCCATTGTTCCACATCGTAGTCTCCAGCGCAGCAGAAAACAAGCTTGCTCCCTCCTCCCTGTGACTTCCCTTCACATGTTTATACATGGCCATCGTGTCTCCTCCTCTCAGCCTTCTCTTCTGCAGGCTAAACATGCCCAGCTCTTTAAGCCACTCCTTATAGGGCTTGTTCTCCAGATCCTTGATCATTTTAGTTGCCCTCCTCTGGACACATTCCAGCTTGTCAACATCTCCCTTCAATTGTGGTGCCCAGAACTGGACACAGTATTCCAGGTGTGGTCTAACCAAGGCAGAATAGAGGGGGAGCATGATTTCCCTGGATCTAGACACTATGCTCCTATTGATGCAGGCCAAAATCCCATTGGCTTTTTTTGCTGCCACATCACATTGTCAGTAATGACAAGAATAAAGCCAGTTTTTTCTAGGGTCTGGCAGTGTGTGACTTGCCCAAGATCCCTCAATGGGTTTCCACAGCAAAGCAGGAATTGAACCTTGATCTACAAAATTACAAGCTTTTCATAGTCTATTGATAATTTCCTCCATAACCATTTTAGGGTTTTGTTTAAAACCTATAGTACATCCATTTTACAAAAGGCAACACAGTTAATCTATTTGAATAAGAAAAAAACTATTGATTTTTAAAATATCCTGATTATTTTAAAATCCATATATTTGTGTCAAGATACAGATACATACATACATACATACATACATACATACTGTGTGTGTGTGTGTGTGTGTATGATATTACTTGTTAAAACTGTAGATGGCAAGCAAAACCATAAAAAGAGGTATCTTTCCTTTGCAAGGAATACCTATAGTAAGGTGATACTGGCTATGACATGCTACCAGTTTGCACTTAAATTCAAATATATGCAAATATAACACATTAATTGATTGAAATATAATTTCTACTTTATTTGGATTACAAAAATATGAAGGTTGAGTGGACTGAGCTCAGGCTATAAATATGTGTACGTGAAAGAGAATCTTAGTAATTTGATATAGTTTTTACAAATCTCCTTTTTTTTGTTTTTGTTTCAGTGGTATCACTAGTCAAGATATGACTGATGGTGCATCTACACCAGTGATTCCCAACCTTTTTTTGACCAGGGCCCACTTTGACTACGGACCACTTGACTAAGGATTACTTTGACCAGGGACTACTTTCCAACATTGGTACCAAAAGGGTTACGAATCAGTTTTTGGTCAACTTTAGATTTGGTGGGTGCTGATTCAGAAAATTGCATTGGATAGACCACATCAGCTCTAGTTTCTGATACAGAACATATGCCATGATCAGTGACAGGAGTGGCAGGCAGCGTAAAAGAAGCGGAAATAAAATAAAATAAAATAAAATAAAGTGGAAGGAGGCTCACGGACCAGATTTTCATCCTCGCAGACCATTGGTGGTTTGTAGCCCACAGGTGAAGAACCACTGTACTAGACAGAAACTCTATTAGACTCTCAAAAGAGAAAGATGCTTTGGATTATGGATTATGGATTCTAAGAAAGATGCCCTGTGCTACCTACATAGAAAAACTACTGTAAATCTACTTTTTTAAAACCAGGGCCCACTTAACCAGGGACCACTTTGACCAGGGACCACTTTACAACATTAGTACCAAAAGGGGCGGGGCTATTCGGCTCTGCAGAAAGGAGCAGAAATAAAATAAAATAAAATAAAATAAAATAAAATAAAATAAAATAAATAAAATAAAATAAAATAAAAATAAAATAAAATAAAATAAAAAAATAAATAAAATAAAATAAAATAAAATAAAATAAAATTAAAAAAAATATGAGGAAGAAGGTTCATGGATCGGATTTTCGTTCTTCTGGCTTACTGCTGGGCCGTGATCCACAGGTTGGGAACCACTGATCTACACCGTGGAATTAATGCAGTTTGACACCACTTTAACTACCATGGCTCAAGTGTATGCAGCCATTGGAGTTGTAGTTTAGTGAGGCACCAGCATTTTTTGACAGATAAAACAAAAGATCATACCTGCACCTCCCAAACTGCAGTGCCAAATTGCATTAATACTACAATGTAATTCGGGCCTGGGCAAACTTCATCCCTCTGGGTGTTTTGGACTTCAACTCGGACAATTCCTAACAGCCTCAGGCCCTTTCCTTTCCCCCCTCAGCCACTTTGAAGTCCAAAACATTGTTAGGGCTAAAGTTTGCCCATGCCTGGTGTAGATGCATCCTGAGCCTTGTGCCAGTGAACTCAGTCTCTTCATTTTTTAATGTTTTGCAGCTCATGCTTCATTGTGTGAGTGCTTCAGTTCTGCTTTATATCTGTACTTGGAAACAGTGTCTTAAGGTTCTTTTAGCTGCCTATGGACACCTACAGATACCCAACAACTCTATGCAAAAACTCCCTGTGAAGAAAGCAATGTTTCCACTCTTGGAGCTTTCGAGGAATGGTGGTTTTACATCTTTGGCTCATTAAATATGAATGTGTGTATTTTTAAAGAACCAGTTGTGGAGCAGAAGCCATTTCTTGAGCCGTACGTCTGTGTCTCTATTTGTGTATTTACACCTAAACCAGATTTTCCGACCAACTACAGTAGGACCTCAAATTTGGCAGGGCCTGGGCCCAGGATTATTTATTTATTTATTACATATATTTCTATCCAGCCCTTCTCCCCACAAGGGGACTCTTGCAAAAGTGGGAAAATCACAAAATTTAAAAACCTGCTATTTTTTTAACCTGATCGAATACCGATCTAGAAATCTCTAAAGTCCTCAAGCACAAATATATTGCCAATGGGAAGAATCATGCTAGATGACCTAAAACTGGCATGGGCAAACTTCAGCCCTCCAGGTGTTTTGGACTTTAACTCCCACAATTCCTAACAGCCAATAGGCTGTTAGGAATTGTGGGAGTTGTAGTCCAAAACACCTGGAGGGCTGAAATTTGCCCATGCCTGACCTAGAGATTCCTACAGTGAACATATTAATCAAATCTGCAAAAGTTAAACCTGCAAACGTGGAATTCCAACTGTATTTAAAATTAAACCAAAACAGGATCCTGGCTTGTTCAGAAAGCCATTGTTTTCAGGTTTGGACATAATGCATACCACTAATGACTTAGGGTGCATTTGCACTATGATTAATACAGTTTGATACCACTCTTAAGTGCCATTGCTCGACGCAATGGAACCATGGAAGTTGTAATTTTACAAAAACCTACTATTTTTTAACCTGAGTGAATACCTATCTAGGCTTCTCTGCCTCACCAATCTACAACTTTGATTGTATTGAAACATACAAGTATTTAAACTTGTATTGAAACAAGTATTGAAACATGGCTGTTAAAGTGGTGCCAAACTGCATTAATTCTGCAGTTTAGGGGCCGCAGTGGTGCAGTGGGTCAAATTCTTGTGCTGCTGAACTCCTGATTTGAAGGTTGGCAGTTCGAATCTGCAGGCTGGGGTGAGCTCCTGCTGTTAGCACAAGCTCCTGCCAACCTAGCAGTTCGAAAACATGCAAATGTGAGTAGATCAATAGGTACCGCTTTGGTGGGAAAAGAATCTGGAGGCAGTACTTATCTCTGGATCTGGGGGTTGGTGCTCCATTTATTAGCCAAAGAGCTGGCGTTGTCTGTAGACACCTCTTGGTCGTGTGGCCAGCATGACTACATGGAGCGCCATTACCTTCCCGTCAAGGCAGTATCTATTAATCTACTCACATTTACATGTTTTCAAACTGCTAGGTTGGCAGAAGTTGGGGTTAACAGCAGGAGCTCACACTGTTCTCTGAATTCGAACCGGCAACCTTTCGGACAGCAAGTTCAGCAGTTCAGCGGGTTAAGTCACTGCGTCATTGGGGACTCTCCTGCCATATAATCCAGTTGAAAGCAGATAATCTGAATTTTATATAGCAGTGTAGAAGGGGCCTATGATTAATTGGAGACATCACAATGTAATGGTTTGAGAGTTGGATTAGGATTCCTGAAGATGGGACTTCAAATCGCTTGTGCAGCCATGGGACCTTACTGTTTGACCTTGAAAGAGGCACACTCTCTCAGCCTAGAGAATGCAGAGGCTTAAGGGGGGAAAGGAAAGGGCCTGAGGCTGTTAGGAATTGTGGGAGTTGAAGTCCAAAACACCTGGAGGACCAAAGTCTGCTCATGCCTGGGTTATATATACGAGTTATTACTATCATAGTCTCACCTTTTTTAGTAGATCTCTGGAAGATGTGAGCATTCTCCCCAGTGGTGAAGAATTTGAAATACGAACAATTTGCTTCTGAAAAGAATAAAAAAGAAGGATGAGCATTAAAACAAAGAACGAGAGTGAATGTAGAAGGAAGCAAAACTACGATTGGAGGAAAGAGTTAATACAAAGCAGTATGAAAACTCATTGATATCAGGAATGCTTTTGGTGCTGTTAAAATAATTAGGTAATTTTTTTGCCTCAACTACATCACACACATTTATTTACAGAACAGAAAATAAAAATGCTATGGGCGCATCAAGAATATAGGATTGAAAACCACTTTAATTCTGGCCCTAAGGAGTTCCAGGAACGGTAGTTCTGTAAGGAGAGGCTAAAGATAATTTTTCTCCGCACCATCTGAGGTTCCCAAGATTATTTCAGGAAGGCTTTGAAGATTAAACCCAATGTTCTTTTGGCAAGAACAATAGGGGGAAATTGTCAGCTGTGGGGTTTGATGCTTGGAAGGATCAATTAAGTTGTAGAAGTTTATATAAAATGTTTTAGAGCTGAGCAAGTAAGAGATCATAACATTTATAGCCATGGGGAGGGATGTTGGAAGTAATTATGACTTTTGTTTTTATTTTTTGGTATCTATATGGGTTTTTTTTTTTAAAAAAAGGATTGTATTTTTTTTCCCTTGATGTTTTCCAAATATCTGTAGCTTTAAGGAAAACATATTGCTATGTTTTCCCCCCCCCCCCCCAAATATATTTTTATTGCAAAATATATGAGGAATGGAGAAGGATACAAGAGTGGAAAAAACACAAACAAAGTTTAAAACTTGGCATTATACTAAATTTCCTTTGACCAGAAGCTGGCCACTTTGAGAGCCTCTGGTGTCGCTGTAAGAAGATCCTCCACTGTGCATGTGGCAGGGCTCAGACCACATTGGAGTTAAGTGGTCTATGTTTTTCTCTTCTCCACACTTGCATGTCGCATGTTTATAGTCCCATTTCTTAAGGTTGGATCTGCATCTCATGTTGCCAGAGCACAGTCTGTTCAGTGCCATCCAAGTCATCCAGTCTTCTTTGTGCCCAGGGGGGAGTTTCTCGTCTGGTATCAGCCAAGAATTGAGGTTCCAGGTTTTAGCCTGCCAGTTTTGGACTCTCACTTGCTGAGGTGTTCCTGCACGTATCTATGTAGATCTTAGAAAATTATTTCTTGATTTAAGGTGTTGGTGTGCTGGCTTATATCTGAACAGGGGATGGGCTGGAGATATCAATACCTTGGTCCTTTCATTACAGGCTGCTACTTCCTGACGGATATCATGTGGCGTAATACTGGCTAAACAGTATAATTTCTCTAGCGTTGTAGGGCGTAGACATCCTGTGATAATGTGGAATGTCTCATTAAGGGCCATATCCACTGTGGTGAGATGTATTCCACACTGGGCATGTGTATTCAGCAGCAGAGCAGCAAAGCGCAAGGGCAGATGTCTTCACTGTGTCTGGTTGTGAATCCCAGGTTGTGCCAGTCAGCTTTTCTAGCACCTACATTTTCTTGATATTCAAGCAGTACTTCTTGTAGGTCAGAAGATATAGAACAGGGGCAATTTTAACATCTTGCATCTTCTTCCAATGTTATAAAAATACTGGGTTTTCATGGCAAGGGTTTGTTCAGAAGGGTTTTCCCCCTGCCTTCCTCTGAGGCTGAGAGAGTGTGATTTGCTCAAGGTCACCCAGTGGGTTTTCCATATCTGAGCAGGGACTTGAACCCTGGTCTCTAGAGTCACAGTTCACTGCTCAGACAACTACACCATGCTGGCTCCGAGTTTTACCTTTTTTTCCTTATGTGCCTCTTTTACATTGGGTACCTTTCTTTCCAATTCTATAATCAAATATATAGTAATAATGACGATGATGTATAAAACTGGGAAGAGTGAGAAAACTTGATTTTTGATATTTGAATGGCCTGGGTTCACTACACCACACCTGCTCTACTAATGCAAAGATGTGGAAGAAGACGAAGAAGAGGAAAAGCAAGAGGAGGAGGAGGAGGAGGAAGATGAGGAGGAGGAAGAAGATTCTGTTAACTGATACCCACGGGGACTGATAGATGCCAATTAAACGTAGTTTCTGGTTTCTTGAGAGTTACTATTAAAAATAGACGTAACAAATAATATACCACACACTATACCATAAACTCTGTATTGACTTGTTGGCAAATGGAAATCTGCAGATATGCAAATGCACAAACACGCGCGCGCACATGCACACACATATATATTCAGCGGAGTTTCAGAAGTGTTCCTTTTAATTGCCAAAAATATCTACTCTCCTTTAAAATATGTTTGCTTTTAAATCATGCTCTCAAGAGACAAAAATAAGCAGATTTCTTTAAAAGTAACATTGTTGGTTTACTCACAAACTTCATGTATTCAGCATAGAGGTACTTTGCATATGAATCCAGTTACAAGTAGATTTGAAATAGGGCATCTTTCTTAGAATCAATACTCCAAAGCATCTCTCTGTTTAGAGTGTCTAAATGTCTTCTCAAAGCATTGAATTTCTATTGACTTCTAAAAGCATACTGTTTCTACTGGTGTCTGAAAGCATTTTGTTTCTACTGACTTCAAAACTGTACTGTTTCTACATTGAAAATCTAATGGCTTCTGCTTCAACCAGCATCTGAAAGCATACTGTTTCTAAAATGGGGTCTCTATCTAGTCTCTAAGCATATTGTTTCAGCTGGCTTCAGAAAGCAAACTTCTCTACCAGCTTCACAAAGCAAAACTGTTTCTAAAACAGAGTCTGAATCCTGAACATGCCCAGTTCTGATCACATGGTCTGCAACCCCCACCCACAACAAAGAGGTAAAGTAAAATTGCAAACCATTGTACACATATATAATACAGTAAGCAATTATATACATAACAAATAACTAATGGAAGCTTGAGAAGGTTGCTGTTTCCAACATGACTTGGATTTTCATTTTGAAATACAGTCGTGAAGAGCAGGTTAAGACAAATAACGACAAACCTAATGTCATGTAACACAGTTTTACTGCATTATAAAAACAGAATGGTAAATGCAGTGTGCAATTTTACTTAAATGGTCGTTACTGTAAAGTGTTACTTTTTAATGATGTCATAGATGTTTAATTCTATTTTAATGTTTATTGTATATTTTTGGATTTTAAATAATAATAATAATAATAACAACAACACTTTATTTATATTCCACTTTATCTCCCTGAGAGGACTCAGAGCAGATTACAACATACACAGATAGGCAAACATTCAATGCCTTTAATATAGTGAAACAATGACACACAAATGCGCAGAACAAAGGTAAAGGCTTTCGCTTTCATCTCCGGCTTCTGGAGGCAGTGCTCACTCTGGCCATGGGGAGGTGCTCTTTTTCCATTTCCAAGTCAAGAAGCCTGTTGTCCATAGATACTTCTGGTTGTGTTGCTGGCATGGGTGCCTTTATTATCTTCCTGCCAAAGCAGTACCTATTGACCTACTTGCATTTGCATGTTTTTGAACTGCTAGGTTGGCAGGAGCAAGGGCTAAGAGCTCATTCTGACCCGCGGATTTGAACTGCCAACCTTCAGGTCAGCAGATTCAGCAGCACAAAGGTTTAACCCATTGCACCAACCACAGTCCCTAATTGTATTAAAATGCTTTTAATGTAATCATATTTTAATTTTAATTTAGGTTATTTATTTAAAATATTATTTTCTCAAAACTTTTTGCCGCCTGCTTGAGATTTGGTTAACCAAGAGGCTACTGTAATAATAATCATTATTTTATACCCTGCTTTGACCTCAGGAACAAGGACCCAAAACACAATGTAGACTTGTATAACGTATAATACTTTTAAACAAGCTTTTATTTGGCTTGTTAAAAAGGAACCACTTTGGCTCACGGTACTGGTATTGCTGCAAGATGGATTTGAAATTTGTCTCCATGACGTCCGCATTATTTGGCAGTTTGTTGACAAAACCCAAAAGGGACGAGGCAAAGGTGCTGTGCTTAGGCCCCCTCTTTCTCCAAATATGCACCAGTTCAAGTTACATAAATCTTTCTTTTTTGGGGGAAAGGCAGTTTTTTCAAACTTGGCAATCAAAGCAGTGTTGGGGAGAAAATGATTCCCTGCATTTGGGGCCTCGGGGCTTATCCTTTCCAAGTCCTTACCTTGCCCATCGGAGTGGATTTAATTGTGTCCCCGGAGAGAGAAGCGTTAGCAATTACAGCTGGACCAATTCCAGGTTGCCCCAGGCTGTATGTGCGTATGTGTGTGCAAGAGAAACAGTCGTACAAAATTGCTCAAACAGGCCATAATTTAACATTACCGGCTCCCTAGTCCTCCCATTAACAGCCTCCGTTGAGAATATTTCAGCCCGTAGCATCCGATGTATAGAATAAGGTGGAATAAGAAGGGGAAAGGTGACATGTTGATGATTTGACAAAAACACCTCATTGGGGTTTCGAAACCCAACAAATTGTCCACAAAAAATGTGACTAGTGTGACAGGACGGGAAGCTAGAAATCTAATATGTTTCATAATTGACTCGAAGGATTTTCTCAGCAACTTCTGGTGCCATCTCAGACTTCCAGGACTAAACTTCTGACTGCACATTATAAAAGGCACTGGAGTCTTGTTAGGCATGACATGGGTGTGTTTAAGTTTGAAAATTTACTTTTTGGACTATGAAACAAGTGGTAAACGAGCAAGAAAAGAAGACCAATTTCATAAATATATCAGCCCAACCCAAAAACAAAACAAAACAAAACAAAACAACAATTTTTCCCTTTGTGTCTTGGTTTTTAGGCTTGTTCCTGACTCATTGTGAGGTTCTTTGTGGCACTGACTCCAAAAATTGCATTGAATGGATCATAGCAGCTCGGGTTTCTTATATAGGGTTATTGTGGTTTTCTGTGGCCAGTCAGTTGGCAACTGGTATAGGGCATATGTTCTGTAACTCAAAAACTAGAACTGGTAGAGGGAAGCTGGTGCCATTTTTGCAATAATCAGGTCAAGTATACCCAGAAGCAGGTCTAATGTTTGAAGGCCGGGCTTTCGCAC